ACTAAGGTCTTTCTACATTCAAAAAATAACATTTATCTTGGGTATTTAAAGAAATAAATATAACTGATGCTGAAAATAAAACTTTCATAATGTTTTACACCTCAATTTATTTCAGTATAATTTAAGGGAAAACAGTATTGAAATATCATATACTACTACTGGATTATTATTGAGCAATGTCAGAGAAATTTTTTGCCAACAAATCATACATTTTGTTGGTTAAAAAGGCAACAAAATGCTATTTTAGTGTTACAACTGCTCAACTAAGCAACAGTAACTCTAAAGGAAACAAATATATGTTATATGTTAGTCTAGCAAAAGGCCTTAAACAAAATGTATAATTTCAGAAACATCAAATTAAAGACAGATTTCTTAGAGAATAGCTATACTTACGTCAAAAGCAGAGGCTCATTATATAGGAGCCCATATATTCAAGATGTATTTGAAATAGGAAAAAAGATCATATTCTTTCAACCAATATTACAATATATTTGTTCTGAAACAAATGCTACTGTAATGTAAAATAATTCAATTATTCTGGATCGAAAAAGAAATCCAATTCAGCAATTCACAAGTTACTGTTTGAATGTTCTTGTAACTAAAAAACCAAAACCGAAGAAGAAATGTTTCATTGCACCGGAGTCCCTCCAGGAGGTCCTTAGAAAGGGGGTTAAGACAATATTTTCAGACACATCATGTTCTTGCAACTAGACAAGGAAGAGCAAACAAGAAGAAATGTTTCATTACACTGTGGTCCCCTGAAGAGGCATCTAGAACAGGAGGATAATATTTTCAGAAGCATCACATTTCATAAGCTATTTCCTTACTTGGGCATTTTATTAAAAAGGTGTGGAAAACTCCTGCAATCAACACTTTTGGCTTTAACCCAACAGGCCCCAAATTCTGGAACTCATATCTGCTTGAATCATTTCTTAACATTCCACAAAACAGGAACACATATGTGGAGAAAATTACCTAATCCAATTGATCAAATTAATACAGCAAAACTCCTAGTTTCACTGCCATCCCAGTAAAGACTTGCCTTCTGGGCCCAGCACAGTAGCCTAGCAGCCAAAGTCCTCGCCTTGCATGTGTCAGGATCCCATACGGGCACTGATTCTAACCCCAGAGACCCCATTTCCAGCTCCCCGCATGTGGCCTGGGAAAGCAGTCAAGGATGCCTCAAAGTTTTGGGACCCTGCACACATGTGGGAGATCTGGAAGAGGCTCCTGGCTCCTGGCTTCAGATCAGCTCAGCTCCAGCCATTGCAGCCATTTGCAGGGTGAAGCATTGGATGGAAAATCTTCCTCTGGCTCCTTTTGTCTGTATATCTGACTTTACAATAAAAGGCAAATAAAAACCTTACAAAAAAACCTTGCCTTTCATAACTGTCAGTGTACTTCAGCTTTTGAAATAGGGCCTCAAGATAATCTCTCTAAATAGGAGACAGAATCTCAAGATACATATTCCATAATATTTTCTCCCTCTTTATTAGAATTCTGCCAAAATTTAGCACCTTCCATGAGACTAAGCATTAAAGAAGAACTAAAAAGACCATCTTCCCAATGATATCATTAAGTGTTAGAAATACTTTCAAGTTGGGAAAAGTAGGGCATCCGATACCTCTTCTCACACCTTAAGTCTCAGCCAGTGTATCTGGATTCTACTACATTGAGAATACAAGGCAGTCAAAATGGAACATCCACAAGATTCCCAGACACCAACCTTAACTTCAATCCCCATCTATTGGGAATGAACATCCTGACTGGCAGTTACTGGGACAACACCAGGGTCCATCTGCACAGGTACTAGATCCCATCCCCTGCCACCTCCCCAAAATCTTACTCTGGTAATTCAACCCACTGCTCCAAAAATTATCAACTTTTATTATTCCAATAGGATTATTTCCTTCTTTTTAACTAGGTAACTAATGTTCCCAAATTTACTGTCCTATTTTTTTTTTAACACTTTGACAAGCAGAAGTTCTTGAACTTGGTCTATGTTTATCATATGCAATTCTTCCTTCTCATCTTGGAATTTCCTCTTCAAAGCCTCATCCCATCGTTTTACTGACAGTGGTCATCAGTGACCTCTTTCTTCTTACTACTATTGGTTTTAATCACTAATCTATCCAAAGCACCCAGAAATACACTTGATACATGATGCTCAGAAATATCACTTCAATCAATAAAACTACCAAAGGGCAGATATAAAAACTACTAGTTGGCACAGCACTTAAGAAACCACTTGAAATACTCATGTCCCATAGCAAAGTCCAGGATCTCTCCTCTGCTTCCCACCCAAGTTCCTACCAACATACACCCTGATGGTCAGCGTATCAGCATCCCTGCTGTTCTAGAGTTCAACGGGAGACACTGGTGGCGTTTCAAGCCCTTAGCCTTGGCCCTGCGTATGGCTGACGTTTCAGCAGTAGGCCAGTACTATAAAAGGTGCCTGCCTCTTCTCCCTTTGTCTCTCTCTCATGCTTACTCTTGCTTTTTGCCTCTTTCTCTTTCTTTTCCCATTTTCTCTTCCATCGCCATTCCTCCCTGTTTTTTTTAATTGCTATGTCACTTGATATTTACCATTTTTTTTTCTCTACGTTTCAGCCAAAATCATACCTTGGGAAAAGAAGACAATACCAGAAGGATAATCATGATACATGATCTGCCTCTACAAAATATTTGCACTTCTGTAAATAGAAGATATTTAACCATGATTGAATTATACAGCCAAAATAAATATTAACACATCTAAGAATATGACTATACAATCCTAACCCTTATTACACACCTGAATAAAATACTGGAATTTTAAAGGAAATATACAACCCAAGGCTCATCTTGGTGTTAACTTTCTTTGAAAGTACTCTTTCCAGAAATATTAACCACTGCAGAGTCGATGTTTTATTTACCACCTTCACAAACTAGGATCATGTGAAACAGTTTGTTTTCTCTCCTACACATAAATGAACTTTGGGCGAAGTTTTCACAAATTCCCATGATATATTCAAATTCATATTTTCTCTAATTCTTCCATACAAATTTCTGTTGCTGAGATTTTATACCACTATTACAAAGTACAAAAATAAAATTTATAGAGAGGAAACAGCAATAGAACTATGTTTAATTGACCTATTTCTTATAATACTGTTCAAAAAGTAACAGTCACTGGGGAAAATAATTTGAATCTTGACAATTTTCTTGTTTTAAAGTAAACTGAAAAGCAGCATTCTAGTTATCGAAAAGACTGAATTATGCAAGGGTTTCACAGATATACCTGGGAGCATTAACTTTTAAGAACTGTGCACTGCAAATCTTTCTATCTGCTTTATAAAACTAGCTGTAAAACATTAATAATTGGCATCAATGTGTCAGGTACCCTGACTCACTAAAATATTTTTACTTTAAACAGTATCTGTTACAGAACTACTCTGAAAAATTGGCAATCTATCACTGTCCTGGCCCAAGGGTGAGGAGTATCCAGCCCACAGGCTAAAGACCTGTGTGATCAATTGTTCTGGCCTTGACAACACAACTGCAATAGGACTCAAAATTCCACAAATCCATAGCCACCCAATTTTTACGTTGACAACTTTTTATGGCCTATAAATGATCTTATAAATATCCAAGTGACCCTTGGCACTGCCTGTTCTAGCTGGTTCTCAGTTTTGAATTCATTTTTACCTTTTTACTTTAAATTTTTTCAAATAATGCAGAAAAGTATAAAGAAGGGCACTATGAATACATGAGTTAACAACTTTTCACATTTTATCATATTTGTTTCACATGTAAATAATAACTCTATGTATTTAATTTTCTAGAAAAGGGGTGTACATGTTAATATCACTCCCCATGGGATTCATGACAAACATCTTAAAATGAAGAAATAACTTTATATTATTTTGAAAGGTATATGATTCAATAAAGTCAACACTTACAAATATCATTAAAGACTTTCTAAAACCTTATTTCAATGGGTAAGATATATTTATAAGTATTACTGCCATTTTTTAAGATAAATTGGATGAAATGCAATATGCAGCACTGCTTGGTACAAACTGGCAATGCATCATCACTACGCAATCAATGAGCATGAGAGCCTGAAGGTGCCAGAGAAGAGACTGTTCTCTTAACTTACAACATGAGCATACCCCTTCTGAAACACTGCATGTTTAGCTCATCTGGTGAACAAGGCTTTTCTTCAACGATTATCAAAGATAGACCTTCAAATGATCACAAGTTCTTTATAAGAAATAACTATTACATTTTTCACGTGAAAGCTAGGTTTTTACTCATGTTCTCCAATAGGAATTGTTATCGCATGCGTGTACAATATAATGTAGAAGAGCACAGCTGTCCTCTCTCCGCACTGAACGGCAATAGCACTCTTCGCTCACGGCTAATAAACAACAGATGAGGACACTACTGGATATCCCGGGCCAGGTAAAACTGCCCCTTGGTGAGACCCGCCAACATAAACAGAGGCAGAGGCAGAAAGAATTCTTCAACAGCTACTAGAGCTACAGAAAATAAAACAGATTTTCAAATTCCAGAATTTAAATATACTCATTATAGTTTAAGATCAACTTATGAGTAAAAACTTCTTAAAACTAAATTAGTATTCTATAGTGTGAAAATAAACATATCCCTGATCTCCATTAAAATAAAGATATGCTGTTCTTACATTTCTTATCTCTATCTTAAGAATAACACCCTACCTTCCTGCTGTCTCCCAGGAATAAAAACAACTGTGGTCTTTCATTTCAGTTTGGAAGGCAAGAGAAGAGTTTTCCTCCTCTGATTCTACAGGTGCTTCCTCAAAGTGCTCTCCCGGTGGCCTGAGGTGACTGGTAAGTCTATACTTACAAAAAAGTTAATAAGACCTGCATATTAACAGGAGTGATAAACTGTTACAGCAAATCAGGAGTAATTTTATATTCACTGATTACCAAGACATTACTTTTTCAACTTTGTCATTGGAACACTCAATCACTTACCATAGAGGTAACCGATCGTGCGTCTTCTTCATAATTTATTACTGGGGGCGGCTCTTTCCCATCATTTTCTTGTACTTTTTGTTCCAGTAATTCTTTCTGTGCTGCAAACTTTGCCTCAGTGCATCTCAGCTGCTGGACTGACTGTTTCAGCTCTTCAAGCGTCTGTTTTTGGCTTAGCAGAAGCACAATACTGAAACAGAATAAGTTAAGTATAAATTACTTCAACTTCTTTCAACAGTAAAGAAAACTATATATACATAGGTTACACTTTCACTGAATTTTTAAGGGACCTTCAAAATATGAAGAGATTATAACTCATTGTAGACATTATTAAATGTTATCATTAACGAAATGGAAGGAAGTGCTTGGAAGCAAAAGCCAAATTCAAGATGCTTTCAAATATATTGTGATTTATGGCACTCATTTTATTTTACAGCTAACTCATTTAACCAAAACTACAATTAGGTCCAGAATTGTAGGATCTAAAATGCATAAAAATGACAGAAGGTAGGTTCTTAAATTTATTTCAAATCTCAAATGTAATATAGATAGAGTCATATCTCCATGCATAAATCAAGTCAAGGTGACATCCAGGCATGAAGTTGTATATGATGGCAGCAAGGCTATGTGCTTTAAGCTATGGAAAGCTGTACATCAAGTAAGAAGGGTTGGACCACGACTGAGGAAAGCAGCACAGCAGAGGTCCCCAGACCTTCACAGTATCACCAACATGTGAGTGTGTGTGTGAGTGTGTAAATTATTCACTAGCCTTACATTAGAAAGCTACATGGGTCCCATGTCACGTGCTTCTTTACTGTTACTTTTTGGCCCTGGGAGACTCCCTTCAAAGGGAATTTCAAAGGAATTTGCCCACTTGAAGATTCTCCAGAGTAGCAGTGGTAGGAACATCTCTGCAAATACCACCAGGCATGGAATATTAGTGTCTTAAAAGAACCATGCCAGGGACGGCTAAAAATAAATTAGTATACATAAGGGCCACTATATTATAAATTAGGGAAACCTGTAGAGTTGGAAAATAAACTCATAAAAAACACTGCCCTTTTAAATGTAAACAGGGATCAATCTAAGCCAAGTATTTCTAAGCAGAAGCAAACCATACTAAGAGATTTATTTATAATATGTTCCTGATCAGAATCTTTTCAAGATCTAGGCATAGACAAAGATTTTTTAGCCTGGGCATCAGAAGTACAAATCACAAAATAAAGTTTTAAAATTTCGATTTATGAATGGTCCTATCAAGAAGATGGAAAGACAAACTAGACACTAGGAATAGAAGGGCTTGAAAATTCATATCTAGATTAAATAATGCACTAAACCACACAACTACAAAGCAGGTGATAGAGTGACACAGATACTTCAATTAACATGACACAAGGTTGACAAAAGCACTGGAATGTGCTACCACGTTAGTATGAAAATGCATATTAAATCAATACAGAGGTATCACTACGTACCTAGTAAAACAGTTCAAATATAAAATGACAGCATCAAGTGCTGGCAAAGATGAAGAGAAACTGGATCACTCACATTGCTGGTGGGCATGTACAGCCATTCTTGACCAAACATGCAATTACCATACCATTAGCAATTACACGTCTGGGTATTTATCCCAGAGAAAATATAACCATGTTCACATGAAAGAAAAAAAGAAAACCTGTGTGTGACAGTTTAGAGTGCTTGCTTTTATTTGTTAAAAGCAAAACAGAAACGAAGCAGATATGTTTCCAACGGCGAATGACGAGACAAACTCTAGCAAAACCACACTGTTTTGGACGGAATTGTGTTCTCCAAAAATATGGTCAGGTCATAATCCCTGAAACCTCATAATGTGACTTTATTTGGAAACAGGGTTATTGTAGATGTCATTAGCTATAATGATGTCATACTGGAATGGGAGGAGCTCTTGAGCCTCATGGCTGTTGTCCAGACAAGAAGCATATTTGATCGAGAGAAGAGATCTGCAAGCAGAACCCCATAAGAAAGCACCCCCCGGGGTTGAGATCATGCTTCTACCAATCAAGGAATGTCAAAGACTGCGGCCATCCCAGAAGCTAGGAGGAAACCATAAAATACATTCTCTCTCAGAGTCCTCCCAAGGAATCAGCCTTGTCAGCACCCGAGTTCAAATTTTCACCTCCAGAACTGTGCCACAAAGAACTTTGGCTCTTTAAGTCATTTATTTTTAGAAAATGACATGAAAAGCTATACATATTTATGGGGTATTATGTGATGTTTTCATGGATCATATTTATTTCCTTATATTGAAAATTGTATCTTTTAGTTTTCTATTGAGAAATACACATCCAGTTGACATTATTGCCTACCACCTACATGCGACAGGACCTCAGAACTTCTTACTCCTTCTAAGCAATGGTCTAGTCTCTATAAACCAGCCTTTTCCCAACCCTTCCTCCCCAAGTCCCTCCTCAGGCTCGGGTTATAGCAACTTGTTTAGATGGTCTCTGGGATCTTTTTTCTCTTTAACTACCAAAGATGAGTGAGATCATACGATACTTGTCTTTCTGTACCTACCTTATTTCCATAACACACGCAAATGACGAGGTTTCATCTTTTTGTGGCTAAGTAGTATCCCATTGTCTATACGTACCACATTTTCCACATTCACTAGTGGATACACACTTAGGTGGCTTTCTATTCCTGGCTGTTGTGAATAGTGTTGTAATAAATAGGGCACGCCCATGTGTCCTCAGTAAATCAGCTGGATATATATATATATATATACACAGTAGTGGAATTGCTGGGTTATACCATTCATATTTTTTTTTCAGGAACCTCCATACTATTTCCTATTTTCCATGACTACTGACAGTGTCCAAGGGTTTCCCTTCACCACAATCTTGTCAATACTTGTTACCCCTGTCTTGTTTATGGTGACCAGTTGTGCCGTGTGAAGTGACAGTGGTTTTGACTGGTGTTTTCCAGATGAGGAGGGATAGTGAACACTGTGTTCACCTTGCTGACGGCCACCACGTGCTTATGTCCCACTGACGAATGTCTGCTTACCTCTACAGCCCATCTGCAATCAGTCATTTTGCTTTTAAACTGAGCTCTTCATACACTTATTTCATTTTCCTGCCTAAATTGTTCTAGCTAAAGCCTAGTACTATGTTAATTTTTAAAAGGAGGCATATTTATTTTACTTCAAATCTTAGAGAGAAAGCCTTTGCTTTTTTCACATTCATTATGATTCTAGTTAGCTTTTGGCTTGTTACATATGGTTTTCATAATATTACTATATGTCCTTCCTGTGCTTAACTTGATGAGTTTTATCACAAAAGGATATTGCACTTTACCAAGTGCCCTTTCTACATCTACTGAAAAGATCACATGACTTTTGTTCTTCAGTCCGTTATGCTATATCACACATATTGATCATTTATGTTGAAGTTCTCTTTCATCCCTTGGATAAAGCCGACATAATCAAGTGATCCTTTTAATGTGCTGTTGAAGTTGATTTGCTCATATTTTTGCCAAACCTTACTGCACCTGTGTTCATCAAGGATACTGCCTTCAGCTTTCTTTCTTGTAGCCTCACCTGGTTTTGGTTTAGGACTAGTGTTGGCCTCATAGAATGAGCCTGGAAGGCTGCCCTTCAATCTATTTGATTTCAGAAAGATGGGTGTTATTCATCTCATTATTTGCTAGAATTTAGCAGGGAAGCCATCTGGTCCTGGACTTTCTTTGATGGGAGCTTTTTTTTTTAATTCAATCATTCTATTCATTATTGTTCTGTCAGTATTCTATTTCCTCATAATTCAATCTGGATATGTGTATACAGCTAACAATTTGTTCCTTTCTTCCAGATTACTTAATTTGTTACCAGATGGTTTTTCATAGAACTCTCCAACAACCAATTGTTATTCCAGGGGTTGTCAATGGTAAATCTCAGAATTCATCCATAATTCTGTATTTGAAATTTTGGCATTATATTTTTTTAATTAGTCCAGGTAAGTATTACAAATGCCACGTTATAAAGGAACCAGTTCTTTATTTCACTAAAGGAACCAGTCCTTTATTTCACGGATTTAAAATAACTCAATAAAGCCATAGTTAAAGAAAAAGAGTTAGAGACACGGATCTTTTGTCTGCTGGTTCTCTTGCTAAGAAGTGGCAACTGCCAGGCTAACGGAAGTCAGGAGTAGGAGCTTCATCTAGATCTGAGTCTCCCCTGGCATTTTTCGGGGGGATAGAAGCAGGGACTAAGGCACTTGGGCTATCTTCCTCTGGTTGTTTACTAGTCATTATTATGGATCTGCATCCAAAGTGGAGCAGCCAGGACACAAACCCACACTCAAATGCGATGTCAACATCGCAGCTAGTGTTTTAGCTGCTACACCAGAGCATTGGCTCCAATTTTTTTAATGTTGTCCCCCCCGAAGGGATTCAGGTGCATATGGAAAAGTGGACCCATTTAGCTTCTGTAAAAAAAGCTTAAAAAATACTTAGTAGACATATCTCTACTCCTACATTCCTTCAAATACCACTTAATGGAAAATCTCATGCCTTTCTTTCATTTTCAGACCACCTGTGTCCTTAGAGATGAAGTGAGGCGGTAAAGAGCAGAATCTTACAGGATTTGTCTTAATTTTTTGGCCATTACATATATTTTAATTGGTTTTTAGTCCACTGACATACAAGATAATTATACTTATTTTGCACTAGAGTAGCTCATTTTTTTCCCTTTCTTCCTAAATTACAATCCTCACTTCTGACTGTCTTCTTTAGTGATGCATTTGATTCCTTGCTTACTAGTTTCGGTGGGTCTGTTACAATTTTGGTTAGTGATTACCTTGAGGCTTTAAGAAAAAGAAGTTCCATAGTCCTAACAAGTTATCTGGAAATTATAACATTGCATGAGAAAATATAGACTATAGAGAAAAAAACATATCGGAAACCCTAATAAAGTATATTTGAGCTCTATTCCTCCCCCAATTTTGAATTTTTGATGTTATTTGTACATCTTTCTAGAGTGCTTATATTTTAACATTTTAGTATGGTGATTATAATTTAATTTTCACAATAAAGATATGATATCACATGTTTACAATTTTTGAGCATTTTGAATTTTCAGTATAGTTACTTTTACTAGTGAGCTTTGTAACCTCTGATGTTTTCTTCTTGTTAACATCTCTTTAAGTTCAAAGAAACACCTTCAGCACTTGAGGTAACATAGGTCTGATGGTGCTGAAAGCTTTCTCAGTTTTTCACCTAATCTTCGACAAAAAAACAGAAAACAACCCAGGGCAAAAATGCGGTTTCTTCAACAAATGCTATTAGGACAGATGAACAGCAGCCTGCAGAAGTAAGAAACAAGACCCTCACCTTTCATCATACACTAAGATCAAACCAAAATGAATAAAGGATCTAAACCTACACTCAGAAACCATCAAACTATTAGGAAAAAATGCAGGAAATACTCTACAAGATGCAGGCACAGGCAAAGACTTCCCAGAAAAATCCTCAAAACCACAGGCAGTCAAGACCAAAATAAACAAATGGGACTACATCAAACTAAGAAGCTTCTGCACAGCAAAGCAAACAATCAACAAACTAAAGAAGCAACCAACAAGAAGCACACTACACCACAAATAGAGGGCTAATGCCCAGGATATACAAAGAACTCCAGAAACACGATAACAACAAATCAAACAAACCAGTTAAGAAGCAGGCAAAGGAAATGAGCATTTTTCTTTTTTCTTTTTTTAATTTTTATTTTTAATTTCGAATTTTATGGTAGAATTCCATAGAGTCTGGGGTTCCCCCCACCAAGTTCCCACCTCCCCAGGACTGATTTTCCCCATATTGTTACAACAGTAACATGAGGAGTTATAATTCCATCAGTCTGTTTAAGTGTGCCCCAACATCTACATGGGAGAGACAGAAAAAGTTCTTAACTCCTAGCTTCAAACATGCCTACCACCATCCATGGCGGTCATTTGGGCAGTGAATCTACACATGGAGGCTTTTTCTCACAGAAAACAGCCTCCTTGGAATCTTGGGGTTCATGTTAGGCCCACAAGAGGCCTGGGGTACCACAGGCCAAATCATCAGAGTTCAGACATCTGCCTGATACAATGGGTTGAGTCCTGAAGCTCCATTCACAAGCACTGGCCTGATTTCCATAACTCTAGTGAAGGTGATTTAGTGTGTGTACATCTGTGTATGGAGCAGCAGTCATCAAAGCTTCTTACGCAGCCACCATCTTGAGTCTTCTTAAGTTGTTTTAAGCCATATAATTGGGGCCAGCGTTATGGCGTTAACAGGCTAAGCCACTGCTTGCAATGCTTTCCATCCATATTAGAGTGCCAGTTTGTGTCCTGACTGCTGTGACTCTGATACAGAGCTCTGCCAACATGCCTGGAAGGCAGCAGAAGATGGGCCAAGCACTTGGGCTCTTGCCATTCATGTCAGAGACAAGCGCAGCATTTTTGCCTTCTGTTTTCTGGCTTACTCAATTTTACTTTTTGGAGCCATTTAAGAGGTGAACACATGAATGGAACACGGAAAATAACTCTCTCAACCTATTCTCTCTCTCTCTCTCTACCCACACCTCAGCCTATAAAATCAATCAATCCTTTGATAAGATCTGTAGCAGTTTATTCTCAACACAGCCTTGGAAAATAATACATATACGATGGAACACTACCCACCAATAGAAAGAAATGAAAGAAACTAATGAAACTGCAGAGAATTTGGCTGAGTGTAAAAATCCAATCCCAAAAGTTTAATTAGTATGGCTTTGTATGTATGACATTCTTGAAAACAATATGGAAATAGAAAACAGATCACTGGTTCCAATGCGCTAGGAAGAGAGAAAGACTAAAGGATCACGTTACAAAAGTGGAATTACAGGGATCTTGATAGTAATGGAATGTTTTGTATCTTGGTTTTATCAACTATAATATCTGGGTTGTGAGACCATTTTAGAGCTTGTAAGCTGCTACCCAACACTGGGAGAGAAAGAATTGAGGGCACACGTGAACTCTCTGGATTGTTTCTTAAAACTGTATTTTCATCTGAAATTATTTCAAAAACACTTAAATAAACACTATGAGAGCAGGCTTTTCTTTTTTTGTCTGACAAGCAAGTTAGTGTTGGGGTTTTTTGTTTTCTTTTGCTGTTGTTTGTTTTTAAATTAGCTCATATGCTTTGGGTTCCTGAATAATTTGTCTTGATAGGATTTTCTCATTCTTCAGGAACAGTAAATATTGTGTTAAATGATCCCTGCCACTTAGACATTCCAAGAAAGTAGCTTCTTACTAAGAATGAGATTAAAATGTAGATTTTTGCTGATTTTTAGTTTAGCTTTAAAACAAAAACAAAATGAGACTCAAATGGGTGGTACAATAGAGCTTTAGCTTTTTTCACCAACATATCTGATCAGGAAATCAAAAGAACCAAATTAGCTTCTTCCAATGAAAACCATTGAACTCCTACATATAATGATATAATCTTAGATATATTAACATTTTGCTTTTGTTGAATTACTTTGAAAAGTAATGGTTTTATCAATACATAACAGATTATAAATCTTTAATCACTTGCAACCCCTTTGATCAAACAAGCTATAACTTTAAGCTATAACTTTAAACAAGCTATAACCCTTATTATATAAACATGACCACAAAGGTCCATAGAAAGCCATGATTAAGTATAAGAATCAGAATGAATCTTTATACAATGAAGTACTTTCTCACACTCCATGAACTCCGCACATTCAAGGTGCCTTCTGTCATTCAGGTCTCAGCAACAAGGCCATCTTCTAGGGGACTCTTGATAGCCAATCTTATGTAGGTACTCCTGTGTTTTCCTCATATCTCAACCATTCTTTACTCACTGCTACCACAACTGGCATTAGAATGTGGGCCATCAGTCAGTAATTAGATCTTGTGTTTGGGGGGGGATTACTCATAAATAGACTGGGTGTCCCTAAACAAAGGATCCCAAACAGCTCATTCACTCCTTTTGCCACGTGGCAATGTGAAGACATAAGAAGAGAGCAGACCATAATCTAGAACAGGCAGCTCTCACAAGAACCCTACCATGTTGGCACCCTCATCTCAGATCCCATCCTCTAGAACTGTGGGAAGTAAGTTCATGATACTTCACCAGGGAAGCCCAAATTATTACAGATATTTCATAACAACTTATAATAAAGGCAATAGTTCAAATGGTGTTCCAATAGTCTGTGTGATATAACAGGATAAACTGTGTTATCATTTACTAAAATAAAGAATACTGGGGCTGGCATTGTGGTGTAATGGATAAAAGCCACCAGCCGCGATGCCTTTTCCCACATAGGTGTAAATTTAAGTTCTGATGTTCCACCTCAGATCCAGCTCCCTGCTAATGCATCTGCAAAAAGCAGCAAGATGGCTCTAGTACTTGGAACTCTGCCACCCATGTGGGAGACCCAGATGAAATTACTGCTTCTTGGCTTCAACATAGCTCAGCCTTAGCTCTTGTGGCCACTTGGGAGGTAACCTGTAGATAGATTGATTCTTTCTTCCTTCCTTCCATCCATCCATCCTTCCTTCTTTTCTTTCTTCCTTCCTCCCTCCCTTCCTTTCTCCCTCTTTCCTTTTTTCCTCCCTCCTTCTCTCCCTCTCTCACTCCCTCCCTTCCTCCCTCCTTCCCTTTTTTCCTCCCTCCTTCTCTCCCTCTCTCCCTCCCTCCCTTTTCACTAGCTCTCTTTTCCTCTTTCTCTCTCCCTTTCTCTCTGTCTCTTTCTCTGCCTTACAAATAACAAATGAGAGAAGGAAGGAATGAACGAAGGAAGAAAGGAAAAGAAAGAAAACGAATGTGAATGGGTCCAGATAAATAGTCCCAGAAAAGAAGAGAGAATGAGAGATTTTGGGGAAGTATAGAATAGTTCTAAAGTACAGAATAGACCAGAGAAATATAAGATATCACGAATGCCTTAAAAGTCTTAACAAATAAAACCAGTTGTTACAGGATGGGAGTAAGAAATTTATAAGGCTGAATCATGATTAAAGAAACCAGTAACCACTGTTTTAGATGGTAGCAATCACCAAACTCAGATGTGAAATTCTAAATCTGTATTAAAAGGTTAAATTTTAAAGCAGTAGGAGACATAACAAAATCAAAGACAGAATCAAGACAAAGAGGATCAAGGAATAATTTTTACAAATCTAAAAATTAGCAAGACATATAACAGGTAGACAAAAATAACACACATCTCAGAGTGACTATTACAAGTGAAGCAAATTAATCTTTTCTTTGAGAGATCCAGAAGAAGCTCCTGGTTCTTGGCTTGAGACAGGCCCAAATCAAGCCACGGTGGACATTTGGGGATGGAATCAGTGGATGGAAGCTCTGTCTGTCCCCCGCCCCTCATCCTTTTCTCTCTGTAACTCTGCCTTTCAATTAAAAATAAATCCTTTTTATAAAATAATTTCTTTTTGACTCACTCAGACTTCTTTTCACAGGTCTTAGAAGATTCTTCAATCCTATTCTGTAGCTCCAGGACAGCCTCCTCTTTGTTTAAAAGCATCTGCTGTGTCTGCATAAGTTCTTCTGCTAAAGTTTTCAACCTAGAATGAACAATTTCCGTAGTGTCAATCAACAGACCAGTTAGGTGGACTTTACACACGCACAATCATACATCTAACGCTGTGACAGCCAAAGTATTAGTTCCATGCAGTTTAGTTTGAAGTAAAACTCAGTTCATTGATAGTGTTGGCCACACTGCAAGTGCTGAAGAAAAACAACAACAAAAAGCATGGCTACAGGCTTCTGTAGTAACAGGCAGAAAGGAACATTTCAAACATTACCAAGCGACTCTTGGATAGTGTTCCAAGAGTCATACCTAACCAAAAATATACAGAAAGAGAAAGAAGGGAACGTGTACTTAATTAATGAATGCCAGCCATGTCCCACGAAGAAGGAACAGCAAAAAGATCTGCTTTTGGTTTTTGGATACATGTGTCCAAACATTTTGGCCTGGTCAGTAGTTATGTGAGACCCCAGGCACATTCATAAGCCTGCTAAAATTATTTTCCCATTTGTAATTTCAGTGCACTAACATCTATTTTATACCATTGTTTTAATCATCAAATGAATTGAATATATATAATAATGACTATTATTTGGTAAACATTTAGTAAAATGGTAAGTGGCATTATTTGCATATGTCATATGTTCAAGGAAATCTTTAAAATAAACATAATAGTAGATATCTCCTAAAGAAAAGAAGATGCCACATAGATTTGTGGCAGCTGAAATTGATGGCAAACTATTTTTATTTTCTCATATTATAAAAAAATTAAGAATATTTTCTATAGAAATTTCAAGAGAATTTAATACATAAAAGATGTACTCATAGACAAAATAATTTATAAGACTGAAAACGATGTAAAACATCTATTTTGTGTTTTTTTAGATTTATTTTTATTATTATTTTTTTTATTAGAAAGGTGGATATACAGAGAGGAAGATCTTCCGTCCAATGATTCACTCCCCAAGTGAGCGCAAGGGCCTATGCTATGCCGGTCCAAAGCCAGGAGCCTCTTCCAGGTCTCCCTCCCGGGCGCAGGGTCCCAAAGCTTTGGGCCGTCCTCCACTGCTTTCCCAGGCCACAGGCAGGGAGCTGGAAAGGAAGCGGGGCTGCCAGGATAGAACCAGCGCCCATATGGGATCCTGGGCGTACAAGGCGAGGACCTTAACCATTTGCGCCACCGCGCCGGGCCCAAAACATCTATTTTAAATGAGTTTACAAACGCATGTCTCTGCATCCAACTTGAAATTTACAAATAAAGAAAAAACCTCCTTTCATTTTCTTCATTGCATTTCTCTCCACTGTTGTAACTTTTCTTACAGTTTCTTATTATTTATTTGAAAAGCAAAATTACAGAGACTGGGGTTGAGGAGAGAGAGAGAATCTTTCATCTGCTAATTCACTCCCCAAATGGTCAAAGCAGCTGGGACTGGGTCAGCCCAGGAGCTTCTTCCACATCTCCCACATGGGTACAGGGACCCAAGGACATGGTTGAATTTCCACTGCTTTCCCAGGCCATTCCTAAGAGGAAGGATCTGAAGCAGAGCAGTCAGGACTGGAACTAGCACCAAAATCAGATGCCAACATCTCAGGTGGCAGCTTAACCCAGACAACAATCCACTGACAAAAATTTTGCTCACTCAGATACTTTTTTGTCTTTCCTTCCTGGTTAATTTTTCATTCAGCTGTCTTCTCAACCCTTTCATTTAAGTGAATTTTTTATTAAGCACCTTTTTGAATGTGTCTTTCTATTCTAGACATTAGGGGTTCAGGAACAAAATTGCCTGCAACATTCCACTAGACAGACAAAGAGCAGAAGACAGATAATTCAAAGAATCAAAACATGTGGAAAATATTTTCCTTTTTTTACCATTAAAAGAGAACACTGTAGTAATTACTTTATACACAGATGATGTAATATAAAAAGAGCTTGATAACTTCTTAATTCTATTCACTCCACATCTAGGATCTCTGTATTCAAAAATTCAAAAGCATATTTTAAGAAATAAAATTATGTCTTTACTAAACATAGAGCAATTATGTGTTTTTCATTATTTCCTAAACAATGCAGTATAAGAACTATTTATATTGCATTAGGTTTTAGATAATCTATAACACACATGGAATATGTGGATAGGTAATATCATATACTACCCCATTTTATAGAAGGGACTTAAGAATCTTGGCATTTTGGTCGTAACACCAATCCTCCTGACACATTAAGAGAAAGTTGTTATTAAAATCAACTGTAACTGCTCACTGCTAGTGCAGATACATGATGAGAGTTTATGTATTTCACCTTTGAAAATGTCTTCTCACACAGAGAGTTAGCACCAAAGGCCAGTACCTGTACATGAGTATATCCGTAATATACTTCAGGTATATGCAATGCACAGCACGCACAGAATCTTTACATAATAAATGCAATGCTTTGAGACCTAATTCAGCAACAACAAAAAATCTATACTCAGTGAAAAATACAACATGTGAAATCCATTTTCTCACATTTCCCTGCTTTGATATGGTAGGCAAGAATTGACAATAAAAAGCAAATAAAATGGCTCATATCCATATATGGGTGACAATCAAACTATACTGAGTTGTAGCTATGTCACTGATTTGCATTGCACAAAGCAATGTGAAATAATAAAAGTGTCACATATAGTCACTGTCACGGCTGCTGATTCCACAACTACAGTAGGAAACTACTCACAGACAGAAAAACAAATGAATAAAACTTTACGCACTCTGATGTTCCAAGTTTTAGAACATTTTCATGTGTTTTGAAATGTAATTCTCATTTTGATTTATTTCAATCATCTTAAAATGTTAACAGGAATCTTAGCTCATGGGCTATAGAATAAAAGGCAGAAAAGCTGAACTTGGCTTATGGGAAGTACAAATCGCTTTCAACACAGAAAATGATCAGTCTTCAATTAAAATAATGTTACTCATATTCAATTTTAAACACATTCGCTATAGACATTATCAATTTGAATTTCAAACAGTGTTGTGGTAAACATGAATCCTGAAATTAAACTTTAGTTTAGGTAAGACTACATTTTACCCAATCATAGGGAATTCAGATATAATTTCTACCAATAGATTATATTTAGTAATAAAGAAAATCTCGACAAAGGGTTAATATTTAAAATATATCAGCTACTTTAAAAATTCAGCAACAGAAGGTCCCAGCATTATGGCTCAATTGGCTAAATCCCTGCTTTGCAAACACCAGGATCCCATAGGCATGCTGGTATGTGTCCCAGCTGCTCCACTTTCCATCCAGCTCACTGCTTGTAGCCTAGGTAGGAACAGTGAAGATGGGAGACCCAGAAAAAGCCCCTGGCTCCTGGCTTCGGATTGGTTTAGCTCCAGCTGCTGCTGCCACTGGGAGAGTGAACTAGCAGAAGGAGGATCTTTCTGTTTGTCTCTCTGTAAACCTGCCTTTCAATAAAAATAAATAAATCTTTAAAAAGAAACTCAGCAACAACAAAAAAAATCCTATCCAGTTGAGAAATGAGTGAAGGGCTTTAATAGTTAGTTCTCAAAAGAAATACAACTGGCCAACAATTATATATGTTTAAAAGAAATTCCATAACACTAGCCACCACAGAAACTCAAATCAGAACCTTCAAGAGGTATCATCACATCAAGCTTGTTATGTTGGCTAACATCCAAAAACAGAGAGTAACAGAAGCTGCTAGGATGTGGGAAAATGGGCACGCTTGCACAACATTGTTGGGAATGTGCAGCCCTTGTTGAAAACATGTTTATTTAACTTTAAAGCAATATTATGATTAAAAAAATGTTTTCTAACCCATACTCAAAAATACACACCAGGAATCTTCAAAAAACATCAAGGAAAATAGATATGATGAAAAATCTAGACTTGGCTCTTAAATTTTTGCAACAAGGACAAAAAAAAAAGGTTCTAAGGTGAGACTCAGAGACACAGAAAGCTGCAGTCCCTGTGTACCCTGCCCCTAAAGTCCACACAGTCAGCTCTACCCCAGGTCAAGGCTGGGAGCCAGGAACCCAATCCAGGTTTCCGTGCATGTGGGCGGCAATGACGTCAGTCATCGCTGATAACTTCCATGGTCTGTGTGGGCAGGAAGTTGGAGTCAGGGGCCAAAACTGCTTATCAAAGCTGGGTACTTAACTATGAAACATGGTTATCTTAACTGCTGGGCTAAACATGCACCACATATGTGTCTTTAAATTCCATCTTCTACTAACTCTATGATATATAGATACACACATATAGGTATATATGGGTTATAAAGGAATTACCTTTATAGAGATTTATCTTTAAAAGTACCAGTAGACACTGTGGAAAACTCTGGGAATAAACTTCTTGAAAACAAATCTCCTAATCTTAAATTCATTTTCCTAAACACAGATATGAACATGAAATATAGCTAAAATTTTGTCTCATTAAGATGTAAGAAATTAAATCTTCTATCATGTTATTAAAGATTTATTCTCTTTATTACTTCTGGATCCACTGCTTCATCATCATAATTAAGAAATAATGATATACTATGGCTAATTTTGCTTTCATTATGCCATCAAAAGGAATAAAACAAATTCCACTTAGGTCATAAAATATCTGATTTTACATCAGTGTATAAAAGGTAGTATTTCTTACTTCACCACACTGCATCTTTCAATATTAATATGCTTATCCCTTTGAGTATTAATTAAAACAAATCAATTTCAATGTAAACTTATCTGAAAGAATTAAGCCTTACAATCTTATATTCTTCAATGAATAAATGAATAGATTATTTGGGAGCAAAGAATGATAACAGAAAAAAAAACAGTACTAGTTTAATAATTTATACCATGACACATATTATTTATATTCCTTCACCAAGCAACACATAAATTAAGAAATCAAGTATCTCAGAGCACAGGAATTAAAAAATTTTGCTAGCCATTTTGGAGCATACATCCAACTCTGCTGGTTAGAGTTTCCCAAACCTCCACACTTCTGAAAATCTTACTAGACAATTCTGCTTCTATGGGAACCTGTCCCACATTCTGTGGGATATTTGACATTTGAGGCCAATGTCTCCAGACACTGTCAATAGTCCCCTGGAGGACAAAATCATCCATGGTGAGAACCACCATAAAAACACCAATGGTTAAAGCCAACAGGCAAAGTCAAAGACACCAAGATAGGGGAACAGTGTTAGGAACCTCCTTTATAGGGCTGCAAGGAATAGCTCTCCATTGCAAGGTACTCCTGTGCCTTTTTCCTGTGGACAGTGGCCGGTCTACAGCTATCATTATGCCTTTATCTTGTGCAGATCATGTGTGTATTATTTGTTATTACTTAATCCATCTGGCCAGTTTGAAATTTTTCAAACACCGTTCAAAGACCTCATCCATGACACTGCTCTAGTTCACTGTCTTACCACTACAGGGCAATAAAACTGAACAAAAGATAGATGACATTAATTATGTTATATAAAAACTGTTGATTGAGTTATTTGAGGTAAAACTTCAACAGATGAAATGACATGATGAGAAGATGGGCTAAGTCTTTAACATAATGTGTTACTTAGGTCTTCTAAATTCAAAATACATTATGAATTACCTTTAATATTGATAAGAACGAAGAAACATATCAAGATGTCTCACAATTCCTTTAAATTTTATGCAACAAACAAGATTATTGGTTTAACGACCAAAACATAAGACATGCCTGTCTCAAGAGAAAACTCAGTAAAAAATTCAACTTCTCTAGTAAATGTTCTGACTACAGCGACTGCTACCTCTCACCATTCAGTATTTGTATTCCCAAAATGGTCCTGCCAATAGTTTCAACAATGAAACGTGATTTTTCAGAAATACCAAAATAAGTCATGAGAATCAAAACAATGTACTTCTCAAAACATGTTACTCTGATCAAACCTAATTTACTTTTTATTACTTAAAAAAATGTTGAGATACTGAATGTACTACAGTTCAAAGCAATCAAAGCATCAGTATTTAAGCTGTTCAGATGTTTTAAATACTTACATTACTTGTAAACTTTCTGCTGTTAAATTATTCCACATGATCTCATTTGCCTGAAGGTTTTCATTTTCTTCTAATAACGAAGTATCAAACTCAATTTCTTGTTCTTTAGTAGCTGTTGTTCTAGCAGAGAGTCAAACAATTTTTTGTTAATTAAGTATACTATCTTATATATCTGATTAGACAGCAAAACAGAGTATTTGCTCTTGACTGAAAATTAGATTAACTAAGTAAACACAAATAATAAAAATCAAATTAAATCCTAGGCATGAAAAACACAGTCATGTGATTTAGCCATAGTTTACTCGTTTGTACCATGCAGTTATTATCCACTGAATTTAGACCTGTCACAACTGCAATTAGTGAAAAATTGATGCCTTGAATAGTCATTATTACATCATATGGGCTAATACACATGTACAGCCACGGGATTATTATACAAATATTAGCAAGAGAATACAATTTCATGGATTTATTAACATTAAAACTGATACAGTAACAACCAACCAGCTTTTTTACATATCATTATGTAAATTAGTTGTTATTGAGAAAGGACTTTCAACATCAAGGGTAGACAAATTAATTTGAAATACTCCATGTACTAATAAACTTTGAAATATGCATCATTTATAATTTGGTAGAAAAACAACACTGCCAAAAATACTTAAGGAGACATGCAAAAATCATACCTGTGAACATCTATGAAATTATTGTATTCTGTGCTAGGATCTATCTGTTCAACAGACAACTGAATTTCTTTATGAACATTCACTATTTCCTCTGTAACAAGACTGGTTATCTGGCTGTATTCATCAAATATACCTTTCCTGAAAACAAAAATAAAATGTTAGAACATTTTTAGGGCTTTATCAAGAGAAATGTAACCCCAAAATGGGATCAAAATAATTTTTATCAATATTTACTGATGTTAGTCTCCTACATACCTATAGAGTAAAATACAGGGATTATATAAATGTACAAATTAGCAAGTTACAAAATAAAATAATAATTAAACGATTCAGAACAAGTGTTATTTTTTTTAAACATCTACTTATCTATTTGAAAATGCAGCCTAGCTATTGATAATCTTCCATTTTTAAACATTCTGACAAAAACTTTTGATTGCGTTGCATGGAACTCTGATCAATCCTCATCTGTCTAACGTACCCTTCCCACGTTGGCCAGCTCACAGGGCTTACTCCAAGGCTCGTCTCTGTATAACCCACCTCAACTGCTTCTACTCCTTTAGTGACATCTAACATCTCAGACCTCAGGCCAGTGACAAAAATGTCACCAAAATCATTAGCCTGATCCAAGAAACGCAAATTGAGAAACGCTATTTTGTCGCAAACATCAACATTCTCAATTAAAAGGGGCTCTGAGAAGGCGGCCTCAACAGCAAACACAGAGGAACAAGCTTATCTTGCATATAACTACAGATAGGGTTTGTTCTGCTTTTCAAAAATCATCATCCTTACAGAAGCAAACGTTAAAGACTTTCCTTACGATGAAATTCCTCTCAATTGTTTCATTTGTACATGGAGGATGTGGCAGCCTAGTGGGGCCTGCAGGGGACACCTAGTACTATGGCAGAGGAAGGATCAACTAGGCCAGCCAAGCAATGACAGCAAATACCTGGGTGAATGGAGACTCTAGGGTGGGCTGTGTCAGCCAATGGACATTAGAAGGATTCCTCATGCTTAGATTGAGCATCTCAGAACTATCTAAACCACTTAAGCAGAACCCTCAGAGCATGCTCCAATCGGGGACCCTGGGATGACGTCGGGTGGCCGTTCCCCACCTCCAGGTGCTGGGATGGTTGCAAGGCTGGCTGTGGCTTTTCATCTTGTCTCCCCAGATCCCCAGATACACGAGGATGGAAAAGTAAGTTTGGCGGCAGTGGTCTCACCTACTTTTCCCTAACCCTTGACCCTCCTCACCCCAATCAATTAGGTTAACATTATTAAAAGAAAAAAAGAGTAAGAAACAAAAGTACTAGATAAAATCAAAAGCCTTAAACTGTTTCAGGCACTGTTACCTTCAAATACTATAGAAATGTTTAACGAGACACTATTCTAAGAAAAGGTAAAGGAGAGCCCAGCACTGTAGCCTAGCAGCTAAAGTCCTCACAAAGTCCTCACCTTGTACACACCAGGACCCCATATGGGCACCGGTTCTAATCCCGGAGGCCCATTTCCCATCCATCTCCCTGTTTGTAGAAGAGAGGCAGAGAGGATGATCTCTCCGATGATTCACTCCCTCAGAGGCCGCAACAGCCAAAGCTGTGCCGATCTGAAGCCAGGAGCCAAGAGACTCTTCCAGGTCTCCCATGTGGGTGCAGGGTCCCAAAGCTTTGGGCTGCTCCTGACTGATTTCACAAGCAGGGATTTGGATGGGAAGCGAGGTGGCCAGGACACAAACCTGCGCTCACACGGGATCCCGGCATGTGCAAGGCAAGAACTTTAGTCGCTAGGCTACCACACTGGGTCCAAAAGCTGTTATTATATGGGAGGGCACTTGCCACATGGGATTCAGTTTCAGTGATATCACCAATATGACATAGTTGGAAAACTGCTGTGTATTTCAAAAAGTCATTACACTGATGATTCTAATGATACTTTCCTTGACATTCCAATGAACAGTTTGAGGAAACATTAATTCATGAAGTGAAAAAAAGGAAACACTTCTAAATCAAAAGTATATCGCTCAAGACATAACTAAATTTATGGGTTAAATACGTTAAGTAGACCTTCTGCAATTTTATCCATCCTGGAAAGTTCATTAATTCACACTGATTCAAAACTCATCATTTCATCATCTCATTGTGAATACTGGAAAATGACCCAAAAATTTAGCCTTCACTGTTCGCGGCTAAATATTGAATTATCTTCCCATCTTTTGCATAAAGACAAAAAGTGTAAGTCATGCAGATTCTGAAAAACAGCAAAGATAAATCTGATGTCAACTTTTCAGAAGTTCTGGAAGTCATTACTACCTAAGATAAATTGGGAACTTGTATCCCTTCTCTGAAATGTTTTATGTAAGCGGAATAACACTGCATAACGACGGCAGGCTGTACAATGGCACCACAGAGCCCTTCAAAGGAAACCACAGAGCCATTTATTAAGGTTAATTAATGTCAGGAAAATAATTGATCAAGTATCGGGCTTTTTTAAACAGCTTCCCTTTTGAATAATTATGAAAATTTAAAAATGCTGTCCAGCACAATGTAGAAACTTTTATGAAAAAGAACATTATCGAACTCCAGCTTTTTTGAATTGGAAATTCAGACATACAGAGAGCGGGAATGGTAGAAAGGAAGATCTTTCGTCCATTGATTTACTCCCCAAGTGCCCCCAACAGCCAGAGCTGAGCCAATCCGAAGTCAGGAGCCCAGATCCCAATCTCCCACATCGGTACAAAGTCCCAAAGTTTCAAGCCATCCTCACTGCTTTCCCAGGCTGCAAACAGGGAGCTGGATGGGAAGTGGGGCCACCAGGACACGAACCGGCGGCACCCATACGGGATCCTAGCATGTACAAGGCAAGGACTTTGCCACTAGGCTACCGCACTAGGGCCCAAATCCAGCTTCTGAGTGCACAGTATGTCATTTTTCCTTAACAGCATAACTCATCTCTTCCTGTGTACTTCCTACTGTGGCCTCTCTCCCTCTTTTAGAGGCCCCAGTCACTGTATTGAAGGACTGTTCTAAACCCAGGATTATTTCATCTAGAGATCATTCAATATTTAATGTATGAAAAGATCCTATCTCCAAAAAAAGAAAGGTAGCATTTGGTGATGTAGGTATCATCATGAGTTTGGGGGGCATGCTATTCATCAGTCTCATGAAAAAAGTCCTGATCAGACTTGCCTGCAGTCCCTCATCTGTCACGGTTTGCCATTGTGATCTGTCAAGTCTTGTCTTGGCTGACACAAATGTACCCTGGATATAACTTGTTCTCCCTAATTCTACAGAATACTAACAGAACAAGTAAGCCAACAAATAACCACACATAGAAGCACTTTGCTAACTACAACCTGTTATATAAATGGAACTGTTTGTTGCAGAAATTACCATTTTAACTCTAATATTTTAGCACATATTAATTATTCAATATTCAGGCTTTGTCTTTTAACTGAAATTTTTCACAATCATCCTTTATATTAATATACTACTACATTTCAGAACTCACTGTATCTCAGGCTAATGGATGAAATTACAGAGAATTGACGAGAATCCAAGAACTTCCCTTAACCAGCTCCAGTTCCTTCTCTGAAAATACACTAAACTTGATCTCCACCTGAGAGAACGTATCCCTTCTCTCGCACTACTAGCTCCTTTCTCTGCCTTCTTCCCAAACTCCCCCTCCCTAGCAACTGTAGCATTCAAAAATTACCCTGTCTTGGGTGAATTAAAATTGAACACTTCATTTGGAAAGCACTAAGCAAGTCAACAAACGGGAATCCTTTCTATTTCATTGTCTTGTATCAAAATGTACAGTCAATATGTGCACATTTTATTTAGTGATTATAGCATAAATTTTATTTAAACTGATTAAAGTATACCATTCCTTGGAGGAAAGAATTGCAGCTAGCTCATCTCTACATCCCAACATATCAGGTAGCATGTATTTCATATATGAACATCCAATTAGTATTTACTGATTTTTAATCTCACATAGAAAAAAAAATGAAAGAAGTTGGAAAATAAATTTTCAAACAGATTCTTTCCATAAGAAGTCTCAACTGTTCAGTATTTAAACACCCAACCTTGACATTTGGCAACTAACATTTTTTTTCCACTTAAATATCCATCTACATAGAGAGAAAAAAAAAAGAGCCAAGGACCATTCTCAGTGCTAGCTAGAAAGTTTCAGAACTGAGCACAAACTGAAGGGACACTCGAAGTGAAAACTCAGACATGACCAGGTCTAACAGAGTTGAGATATCCTTGGACTGAGCCAACGGTAAAGCCACACGAAGCAAAAGCCACCTGAGAGCAAACAGGTAGCAGTGAATTTACGAGGAGACTCTACAGTGACTGGGAAAGGCATCTTACAGTGCTTTTAGCATTTCTTCTTGCATCTTCTGTACCGAGTCCAGCAGCAGAGGAAGTGTGGTGTCATAATACTGATTCTGATGAAGCTGTGCCCCTTTCAATGCCAACACATACTGGTTATGCAGCATATGCAGTTTCATGGTGGCTTTGTCATAACGTTCCTTGGCCTTCTCTGTTTCCTTCCCTGAAAAAGAAAAAAAAAATTGAAAAAGTTAGCAAAGACACAAGAAATGAAAGTTTGCCGTCACAATATGCTATATGTGAGCTACCACTACATTGTTGCTACACACGTTTCATGCAAAACCCAAGAAAAATTCACTGAATGAATGCTCTGTGCTCAGCCTTATGCAAAGTTATTTATTTATATGTATCACACAGCTACAAAGGAGGCAAAACGAGAGGAAATTTTGTGGAGAAAACAGACTCAAAAAATGAGTTGTACCTGGAAAAGTGTTGGACTGAATGCACAGTAAGTTTACCTCCCACCTTCTCTTTTTAATTGCATCTGTTCCTTTCTTTTTTTCATTCAATCATTATTAACTGGATCCCACTAGGGACTGTGCTAGACCCTGATAATTCAGTACATGGCAAAACAGAGTCCTTGACATTCAGCCTAGTGAAATGGAATATTGAGTGCAAAGAAATAAGTAATATTGTATGAGCAAGAGAAAGAGCAAGTTTTGAGGAAGATAAGGAAATATGGCTGTATAAGATACTGTCAAAAATCCATGTGAAATGCATATTACAAAAAAAATGCATGGATTTCAAGATGTTTTTCACTAAAATAAAATCACACTGGCTTGTTTTAACATTTCTCAACAGGATTTAGTTTGAGACAGTAAGAAGAATAAGAAAGACATCAGTTTGAAGAGTGCCTGCCAGAGCAACATAAGTACTGCCAAAATGGAAGCAAGAAACATCCAATTGGTGGTGATGCCTGGGCGGTGGAATTGTGAAATCACTGCTCCTTTGAGGGAGACAGGCCCACCCAGAATCACCAACTAACACCAGATGATGCTTTTGAGGAAGGGACAGTGTCATTTTGAAGATAAAGCCTGTAACAATAGCTCACCCCCATCAATTCAAAGGAAAAAATTAATCTTGCTCATGTTCCAATTAAAGAAAACCAATGAGTAACACTAAGACAACAGCCAACACCCCAGACTTCTCAACTAGTTCAGCTCACAAAATTCTGACTAAAAAATTAAATGAAACAAATTCTCTGCTTGTTTAGGTGCCAAAACAGCTGCGCCCAGATCAGCCGCAAACAAAAGCAATCTTCAAGGGCAATTTCAAACAAGTGAGAACAAAGTGATAAAGTATTTCTCAAAAGAAAGATAACAGGATATGAAGCACAGATTCAATTATATACATATGTGTGTGTGTGTATAAAATATAATACTTTATTTGAAAGGCAGAGAACAAAGAGATGAAAAGGAAGTAAGAGGGAGAAAGACAGGGAGGGAAAGAGAATTTTCATGTGTTAGTTTACTTCCCAAATGGTCACACTGGCCAGATCTAGGCTGGTCCAAATTCAGAAGCCAGGAAACTTCTTCTAGTTCTCCCACATGGGCACAGGAGCCCAAGAAGTTGCATCTTCAGCAGCTTTCCCATGTACATTAGCACAAAGCAGGATAGGAAGTGGAACAGCTGGGATTCAAACCAGTGCCATAAATATAACTTTACTAGTGTGCTCCTGCAGACAGAGCACAATGAAACCAGTGGCTACCAAGAGGTAGCAATGCACTTGTCAAAGCCAACGCTGACCAGTCAAAGGCAAATCCTGGCAAACCTATGTTGAAGGCATTCAGCTTGTCGACTTTCAGAAGGGTCAAACAGCAAAAACATCTGCTTATTAGGAATGTGTTCTGAGAAAGGCAGCCAAAGATGTTCAAGAAAAATTCCTAGAAAAGCTTCACCAGAGTCCTCCTCCACAACAATGTTCCTACTCCCTTCTGTTACCAAGTAAGGGCAGTTTATGAGAAACTACTTTTAAAATAGGAAATCATTAGTATCCGCCTTCCAATTCTGGTTTGGTTCCTTCTGACTTCGATTCTCAATCTTACCTTTTCTTCAATTAATGATGCCAAAAATATTGATTTGCACAAACTCCTAGAACCACTACTTCTTTGCTGATGGACTAATAACTGGCATCATTGTTTAGAAAAATATCTTGACATTGATGGGGTTTACACTGAGTAACAGTTTACATTTTTTATGCTTATCTTTTAAATTCTTTCTCCATACACTTTTTAAATCCCTTTGTGTTGATATGGCAATTCTTAGGACTGAATGACTGGAAAACCACAGGAAAAAAAAAATATGTAGACATGTGGCAACAGTCTGGGAGATCCTGATAATGTAATGAATTAAATCTTTGTGATTTCTTTATTAAATTCATTCAGAAAGTATTTATACAAGCCAGCATTTTGCATCTTTGGCACAGTGAGATAAGCTGTGTACAATATGAGAAAACTGACTCTAGTCCCAACTATGCTTCAATTTAGTTCCCTACTAATGACACAGCTACTGCCACAAGACCTGGATGGAGCTTTGGGTCATACCTCATCATTGTAGCCACTGAATAGAAGATTCTATCTCTCCCTTTCTCTCTCCCTTTCTCTGTCCTTTCCTCCCTCCCTCTCTGCCTTTCAAATAAAACTTTCTTAAAACGTATTAACATGTTGCCAACATAATTGAATGAATGAAATTTAAGCGGAGCTTCAACTTTTGATGCAAAATAAAGAAATATTTCTTGTCAATTCTGATGTAACAAGCAAACTTTTCAAATTATTAATCTGACCTCCATCCAAGCACAGCCTCTAAATAAATACTCGCCCTAGAAAACAGTTCTTGCGTGGAGAACTACTGCTGCTAGAGGCTCCCTCAGGTGCCATTCCACTTAGAATCAGCAGTCTCAGTACTTCTCATTTAGAACCCTCTCCAGTCCGAGAGGAAAACTTAGAGTTTTTTTCAAGAGAGGAAACCCTCAACCCTGCCCCCCAGACCATGTCCAGATAGAGCAAATGAATATTAAATGTGGTTCCTTTGCACTTCTAGTCACCCCTGCAAGGATGTGGCACAGGAACTACATCCAGATGGAGCAAAGGAAGCAAATGTAGCAGATTAACACATCTATCCTAGTAACAAATTCTAGAATTTCCATATACTAGAACCACAGGGGAGACTTAATCCTTTTACAGAATATAAACCCTTACACATAGTCTATCGGCTGGCTTCCATACACAGTAATATCAACAAAATTGTCTAAGTTATTCAAAATGTGGTCCTGAAGGATCCCTTTTTACTTCATAAGATCAAGAATTTCTGAATAAGAAAATAATCTTTCAACAGAGTATTTTTCCTAACCTTTCTCACTGCTGAGTGGAAATAGAATCTGGCATGAGACTGACACATCAATTCAGTGCTGACCCAAAGGAAGTTGAAAAAATAATTAAATTCTAACTAGTTAAAAAAAGAAATTTTCACTATTTTTACTAGAATGCACAGGATGGTGCATTTGATGATATCAGCTGGTATCTAATTATGCAAATATTTAAGTGTATAAAAAGTATGAAATAATTTGCCCTACCATGAGTTAAACCTCATGTTTTGCTAAAAAATTATATTATATTTGAATTTTTTAATTTTCCATGTTTATCTGTCTCCAAAAAAACCTTTTTTTGTGGCAGTACTATAAGACCCTAGATACGTTTATTCATTTTCTATGATAGTTCAGATTAGTTTTAGTAACTTAGTGATTAGTCACTCAATACTAATCAAGGATGATTTTTAGCATTCTCAAGAAAATATTCTTCAATGTGTTCAAACATGATAACTTTTCAGAGGTTGATCTCTGCAGCATTTTTGTCCATAAATTTCACTCTTCAGCATCCTTCTTGCAGAAATTTATTGTCAAAGAAATCAACACGTCTGACGCCAGCCAAAGCTCTTCCCCTGGAAACTGCTCACGCTGCTCCTTTACAGCCACCCAGATGAGGCAGAAACATTTATAAGGAGCTGGTACCCGCCATCCTTGCGGCATACCTGATCGTACTGAATCAATGTGCTGGCTAGAATCTAAGCCTTGTTAGCATTTTAAGTAGAGTGAAATTTTGCCAACCTCTGCCAGAGAAGCTGCCTTAGCAGCCAAGCACTGCCTGGAGCCTTTTCCAATGTTTGTTTGTTTGTTTTCTCACTTATTCTAGTTTCAATGTTTAGTACTCAAATTGAGCAAATTTGATCTGACAATAGAATAACAATTAGCCAGATAATTATCCAGATATTTTTATTTCAATAAAATTTTCTACATTTTATATATTCATAAGACAAAATAAGGAATTACTATAAAGTTGCATGCTTAATTTGTTAATTATTATTGTTGATCAAAATATATAATCATTGAACTCAGCTAGTTTCGTAAAGTAGTATTTTTAAGAATTGCTACTTTTTAAGTAAGAATGTTACTTTTTAAAAGATTTTTTTTTATTAGAAAGTCAGATATATAGAGAGGAGGAGTGATAAAGAGGAAGCTCTTCTGTCCAATGAATCACTCCCCAAGTGTCCCCAACGGCTGGAGTTGCACCGAGCCAGAGCCCAGAGCCCAGAGCCTCTTCCGTGTCTCCCATGTGAGTGCAGGGTTCCAAAGCTTTGGACCATCCTCAACTGCTTCCCCAGGTCACAAGCAGGAAGCTGGATGGAAAGCTGGGCCACCGGGATTAGAACACATGGTGTATGCTAGGTGAGGACTTTAGCTGCTAAACTACCATGCCAGGCCCTGTTATTCTTAATTCCTTCATTTTTTTAGTCTAACTTCAAGGGTCATGTTCTACACAAAACACTTGTGTTAAAGTGTTTTGTTGTTGTTGTTTGTGGTTATTTATTTTATTTGAAAGGCAGAGGTACAGAAAGACAGAGAGATCATACATGTCCTTGGCCACAGGACCAAAACTGAAGAAATTGGGATTAGAACCCAGTGCCTATATGGGATGACAAGAGCTACAGGCGGAGGCTACACCACTATGCCCTAGTGCTGGCACACAAAACACTCTCGTGGAGACATTAGCCAATTTCTATTTGCACAAATTTTGAAACTGCACACTGCTCATCATTTTCCTAGCTTATGATGATTGATTCATTAAATATACAATATTCCACTCAGTAAGATTTGATAATGTGAAATAC